AATTAAAAGTTGAAAAAGGATTTTCTACCCAAAAACATCCTTTTAATTTACTTTATCTTATTTGGAAATTGCATAATGGTTACACCGAAAGTAACAAAGACAATCCTATGAATATGAAATCGGCATATATCTTCGATCTATATTTTAAGTTATTTGGTATTTGCTTAACTAAATTTCAAAAACCTTTAAGGCAACGATGGTTATACGAACTACAGGCGGCAAGGCAACTAGTCGAAAGAAGAAAATTTTTAGAAGATTTTACTTTTTGGTTTTTAAATAAGTTAAAATCACAAAAAAAAATACCAAAAACTTATCTCGCAAATTGGGAACTTCTTCAACAATGGCTTACGGACCCAATTTTAAAAATACAAGTAGAATGTCTCGTAAAATTCGGGGAACAAGTTTATGAGCCAATGATGAATTTTTTAATTGGTTCTGATAAAGAACCACGAATTCTTCAGCCCGACGGTCAACTAACGCCACTTTTCCCTGGTCGCAGAGCCCACGAAATGCCTGATGCAGTTGTTAAATGGATCGGGAATTTATATAGAGTTAGAGACAATATTTGCTCACTTTTCGATAAAGAATTATGCGATGCCGTTGATATTTTTGATGAAGAAGATTTTGGAAATTTTTTTAATAATTTAGAAGCTAGTATTGATACGGCTATAAATTCTTTGGATAAGTGGATGAGTATGTGGCTTCATCTTCCATTAAGTGTGTGTCGATTAGGTGGTAAATATGGCCGTGAGTTTGCTAGAAGTTATATACATGTAATATTGAAAAAGCAACGAAATCAAGTTCCTAGTCTCAAAGAGTTGTGTTATACAACTCTTTTGGAATTAGATATTAAACAATCTAATTCTAATGATTTCGGCTTGCTTCAAGCAACAGAAGATCCATTATTTATGGAAGAGCTACTTAACTTTGCTAGTTCTGATCAACCGATTCACGCTTTTCCTCTACTATATGAATTTGTCAAATGTCGAATTTATTATATAGTTATTCATCAACAACAGGTTGAGGGTTTGTTCAATAAGTATGACCTTAAGTGTCATACGAACATGAATATTGAAACTAAAAAAGCTAACCTTCGTCTTTCAGGTGTTAAGCAAGTTTCTTTCTCTAATGAAGAATTGGCGTTACAAAGAAAAAATAAAAGAAACTTAAATGAGCGAGATAATGAAAAACAAGGTAACGAAAAACAAGCAACGTTTGGAGAAATAGAAGCTAATATGCTGTTTAAGGACTTGTTCAATAAATAAAGGAAATAATACTGTAATAAGTGAAAGTTAAATTTTCCGTCGTTAACGTCAGTTATTCGATAAATAAAGAAAATAATAAGTTAGTTAATTTTCCGAAATTTCCGAAATTATTTAAAAAACCGATAAAAAATCCTTACATATGTACCCCGACTATGATTTGATTTACCTATTATTTTGAACACCCTAATCCTAATGCCACATGATAAATGATCATTAAAATCATTTATGAAAATTATTAAATGTTGTGTAGCAATAATCGAAGCGATCATTACATCACTTCGCAGCTGATCATGCGCGGTTTATGTCTATTAATAGTTCCAAATTTTTATAGATGTGAAAATTTAGTCTGTTTAAACAAAAAAAAAGTATCAGTATTCGATCATCTGTAAAATTCCGTAATGATAATTCATTGTTTTTGTTAAATAATTCAGTTCAAAAACTAGTCAATCTATATATAAAGTTAGTTTAGCACTGCATAACGGTGTTAGCTATTTTAAGTAATAGTCAACTAGAAATCGTACGTACGTGCCCAGGTAGAAATTACTATACGGCTATAGGAAATTACCCAAGCAACGGATAATTTGATAATGACTGGATAAAGCATTTATCCATTAGTACATATTAATGACCGAGGCTGACATAATGTAAGGTCATAACTTATAATTATCAAATAATTCATAACAGGTCATAGGCCAACACTGATTCGAACTACGTAGTAATTCGAATGCTATTATGTATAGTTTAGGCAGAGCGCAGGTAGTTATAACTGGACTTCCAAACCTGATCCATAAACCGATTTAATACTCCTATTTAACTATTTAACGTTAGGCTTATACGATTAAATGAGAAAATGCATATACGCAATGCTACTATTTATAAAAGACAAATTTAAATCTGATGCCAGCATCGCTCTTTTCGAATTTGATTAGTCCCAAGCGATTATTTAAATATGCAAATATATGCCGGGTATAGTCGGATCTAAGCCCGATGTCAACTTTTATGAATTAATTATGTAAATTTGCTAAATATGTAGTACTTACATACGTACGTACCAGTATTGTAATTTGGACAAATGCTATACCAAAAAAAGAAATATTAATAATATTAATAACAATTTTTATTACAGTATCTTTGATTTAATAGTTCATTAAGTGAAAAATAGTAGTTACATACAATTATATGTTTTTTTACAATTGTTTAAACTTCATGAAAAGTGTAAACATGCTTAGGCAAGCTTGGTTATTCTTGAACCTGGACTTGATCATCAATAATTGTATAGATCAATAATTGTATAGATACTTTCAAATCCATTATTCAATAAATTAACACATCTCTAACAGCAAATTGAATAGATCCATAGCTATAATAAAACATATAAACCACTCCAGTTTAAAACTGAAGTGGTTTATATTGTTTATTATAGCTTGGAGTATTCTATTAACAACCCTAATGTCAACCATACTTTATAAGATCGATCAAATTATTAATGTATTTCAGGAAAAAAAAAAAAAACTCTTATAGTTAGATGTAATAATTTATTAGAAAGAAATAATAAAACACACGGTTAATAAAGTTCATAAAATTTCATAGTAACGGTAAACCTAATTTATATGTTCATAGAAATTATAAATTCATAAAATTCCCCTGAATTTATCAACCCTGACGCTGATGATAAATATAATTCACATAACTCCTTAAAATAGCAATAGTACAATAATTAGAATTAAAAATAATGATAGTTCAAAGATAACTTTGTAAATATAAATCCTGCAATTCAACACCAATTCTCTCATTTGGTAATCCCTGCGAGAGATTTTGAAACATACAATTGTCATAAAATATTTGTTCCACCGGATATTGCGCAGTTAAGAAATTTAAATCCCAATCAATTTCTTCACTTGTAATATAGTTCGAATTGTCTGATGAATGTGCTACGGAATACGCAATATTACAATCGTTGTTACTAATCAGTTCAGATGTTGGTGTACTTGTAAAGGTAGAATTTGGAACAACTGTAAAAGTAGATTCAGTAACCCAAGGAGTATCTTCGGATGGTTTAACCTTTGATTTTTCCTTTGGTTGACTAGCTTTTACAGTTTCCGGTGATATAGGAACAAATTCATATACAATATTGTTTGCAAGTTCTTTTGGTTTTGAATGTCCAATAGATCCGTTTTTAGTCCGTGACTTTTCTTTCTTTATATTCACATTTCCTTTCTCTTTACCATCATTTCCATGTTCTTTATTATTTTTAGATCCACTTTTTGCAATTTCATCGCTAACATTACCTTTTCTCAAATTATTAAGGTTTTTAAGTAATTGTGTATTTGAATTCTCAACTTTTTTCTTCTTCATGAATGGGCATTTCGCATTTCTCCAAATAACTTTTGATCTACCTATCCTTGATGAAGAATTATTCTTTCTTAATTGTTCCAATTCATCTTTAACTTGTTTTGCCATATTTTTATAAGTTTCTTTAACGAATTCAGGCTCAGAATTCCAACAAATACTAACAAATTTTGAAAATTCTGTCATTTTTAAATGAGATTTTATACCATAATCTTTTGGTCTGCTTTCGTTACTAATTAAAGACGATGATGAATAATTAGCGATGGAAGTTAAATGCATTACAGTTGACAAATGTTCTAGAAATGCCTTGCGATAAATTAAGAAGGCATTGGGGCCTTTTAAATTTATTTGAGTTGGATCTCTTTTGGAGATTATATCGGAAACTTTGATCATTGGCGGAAATGGCGGTTTTATAAAATTAGTAGGCATATCTGACGAAGAAAATTTTGTTGTGTTTGTGTTTTGTGATTTCTCTGCGATTTCGCTGGAAAGCGAATTTTGAGACGAAATAGAATTGAGAAACATAGAAGCTTGAGATAACGTTGATCGAATATATATATATATTTATATATATATATATTATTATTATTCGTGAAAATGGTATTTGCGAAGTTTGTGTTTATTTCGTTTATTTAAATTTTGTAGATAGGGCTCATATAATAATAAAGTAATAATAAAGGTAATAATAAATATATCTATTATTATTATTTTTTTTTTTACCGGAAAAAAAATATGTACACACGAAATTACTACGCAGTAGCAATATCGCCGGACGAGACAGACGTGACGTTTATATAATTTTTTCCTAGGTACACTAAAAATTCCCACGTAATATGTTTTTTTTTAAACGTATTACCGCAAAAACATGTGAAAAATAGGGCCAAGTTATTCGACAAATCATTTAATTCCCTTAGAGTGAATATTCTAAAAAAAAAAAATAAATGCAAATCTGCCTTTAAAAAAATAAAAATGCTACAATTGATCTTGTTACGGTAAGCACAAATAACAAAGAAAAGCAAGAATAACTAAGAATAACAATAATAGCCTGCGTGTTCCTCGTGACCGTTACCTCTTTCCTAATTGGATTTACAACTTAATTTCAACATTATACACATTATTTACGTGTCACTATATGTCATTAGCATATTATACTTTATCCTTTTTTAAAAGAAAACGTAACGCGTCAATATATATGTAAAGGTCTACAATGTCGATTAGTCATGCTTCTATATTCTATATTACCCTAAAAGAAAGCGGACGTCTCGAGAATTTACAAATGATTCGCATACAGAATATGGATCGCATTACACGACGTTAAAAAAAAAAAAGAAAATCTTTTATGTTGTATAATATTATAGTTTGTATAATAATAGGTATAATATCTGATAAAAATCATCTTTAAGATAATGAAAAAAATTACGTAATATTATTTTCTAGAAGGCATACTCGCTCCCTCCCAGAAGAATTACCAATCAAATCTTTTTATATTGTAAAAGATTAGTATAATAATATCTATAATATCTAGTAAACAATTAAATGGGAATCCCTAAAGATATATTATAAACACAGATTTTCCATAACTCCAAATTAAGGAAAACAAATCACATTTCCTAATTTGTCAAAATATATATATTCAGCCATATATGCAATATATTTTTTTTTACTAATATAGGGATAGCATATGGTCATGCCAGAAGAGGTGAATTAGGACACAACAAATAACGTTATATAAATACATATGCATGTAACGTTTTAAAAAAAAAAAGAATAAATTAACTTTAATTGGTGAACCATCTATAATTAGAATTTTAATCCGGCATCTTCGAATTGGTCCTGCTCGTTGTATCATTTTCGCTTTTTCCCTAAGATCGTTGATCTTCATATTATTA